GAGATATCACTCACTGATATCAACAACAGTGACCTGGACTCAAACCCAAATCACGGAGTTCATAGCACTCTGCACACCGCTCCACTCGCGATCAATGTAGTGGACTCATTGTTAATTTTAAGTGCATTTAAAGTAATTATATTCAACGAACGTGAACACAAATACCATACCTACGTTCAATCCAAATGTGGACAGTAAATTTGTATTTTTAAATGTGTGCGTCATTCATTATGCGCGATTACTTGTGACATGCACAAACATATTGCAGAAATGTTTATTGTTTTGTAGGTAAGCATTTGGAAACTAAAAAATATTGGTCTTATACATGTTGCAATTTCAGAATGTTTTGCCTTTAAACATTCCTTTTCGTTTTTCTTTGCGAGCATACGAGGTAGTGCCTTCCTTTAAGTTCTAAACACGACAACATAGCAGCTTATACCAAGCATTGTCCAAAGTATATAGTGCATATATGTACATCATGCACAGTGTCAATTATTATACACACTGTATACATGGCCAGGAGATTTTATACACAAAGACACGAGCATTTTTTGGGAAAATTACGCAGATATGGGAGGATAATGGGTTATATCAAGTGTCTCCCAGCATATATCACAGACATTGCAGTGTTTATTGCGTTATGTACTGCATATATCTGCTCGTAGCAGGTTGGTGTCAGATACAATAGTAAAGCTGTGGAAAGATTAAAATGGCATTTTTGTTCCATTGACCTGTTTTTAATAGCCAGGCTGGCAGAGCGAAGCAGCCCTGGGTAATACGGCATCCTATTTTTCACTAAAGAAATGAACCTTTCAAATAGTGCCAGGGTTGCCTTTTATGGGCCATAATCCATCTGTCAGGTTCAGCCCTGGCGAAGCCATTGAGCATTGGCGTGGGCTGCTAACGCACGGCATCGCGCTGAAAAAGGGTCGCTTTTTTTTTCACCCTCTTATAAATTGTAATGAATGCGTTTGATAATGCCCTGACATTAGCGGCATGATTGCTCTGTAACTTTGGCAATCTCACCCTGTGCATCCGCATCGAGGAGAGAGCACGATTGGTACTGCAGCACCACCTCATGGTTCAAGCTCTCTCACCGATGCAGCCTAAAAAAAAAACGTGCACCTACTTCCAAGTCCCCTTCGTCGTACTATTATCGTTCACTGAACAGCAGCAGCAGCCATGATCAAGCCACTGCTGATTGAGACGAAATGTATTCTCTACTCCAACCGGCACTGACCAGCTTGGTGAAGCATGATCAACCCCGTCGCCGTTCTATGATCGAAGCACCTCAACTTTTAATAAACCTGAGCACCACAGAAGAGCGAAAGAGATGTGGACCGTCGGTGCATTCACTTTTTTTGTCTTTAAAACGTTTCCTTCCACCGAGGCCACACTTTACAACAGAAAGGTGGTCATGTAATTTCGACAATCACTGCGTTTAGGCAAGATTGCTGTTGAATGTTCCCGTGCATGATGGTAGCTGTGCATTTACTGGGTGCATTCTGTACTCTTGCGAATGGCAAACACCCCAAGAGATAACGTGGGGGTTCTATGCCTCACTCTCTCTGCAGGGCCGGTGTGCTGTTGCGTTATCCCACCAAGTGTCGCTTTTGAACGGTATTTTTTTTTGTAAAAGGAAGAGCTTTTTTTTAAAATGAGCATATTTCACAACCGTATTGTTAACATGAACAGTGGAAATCTAGATGTTCCGAGATGAAATAAATTATCATCCTGCATCCGATGTTAACTGCAGCTTCCCCCCCCCCACCCCACGGAAACATTGTCGTATAAGAATAAGAACGCCTATGAACACGTTTTGGTGTTCTGAGAATTATATATATATATATAAAGTCTTTGTACACCAGTCCATGCCGACCACTGCTGTATACAGTGAACACCCATATGTGTGCATATGTATATAAATTACTCACGAAGATCATTGTGAAGAGAATAATAAACAAATTAGAGGCCAGCCAATTGCGGAAGCAGGCAGGACTTTGGAAAGGTTTCTCTACTCGCGATGGTTAACATCACCCCCAGACAACCTCCAATGCGCTGTCGCAAAAATCCGGGAGTCCAAATATTGTGGAGGACATCGCTCGCAATCACGGGCGGTTTCTTCATTAGGGCGATTGGGCGACGCACCACCAATGTCATTAAACCACAGAGTCACGCTAGCCGTCACTGCAGCCTCTGGATATAGTCCAATCAGCGTCATGTCACGTTCTGTGGAGTACCGCCTCTTTTTGGGCGATTTCCCTCCAGCTGAGAATCGCCCCGAGTGGCCCCATAGACTTACATTCAAAGATGTTTTTTTTAGAACGGGGGCGCTGCAATGCATTCTCTATGGCTTCCGGGAGGGCTCGCCCTAACGTGCTTACGTCATCATACGTGCTTACGTCATCATACGTGCTTACGTTATCTTACGTAAGCACGTTTCATCCAACAATATAATTTGTTGCCACCTAGTGGAATCTTTAATAAAATAAACTTGAGTGGTTTGTTTTAATAGTGAGTATAGAAACAAACAAGATGTATTGTAAGAATCACTTTATTTTTCATTAATATTAAAGAAGTGAAGTTGCCTTTACATGCTTAAGCTGTTAATTTATCCATTGCATGGGTGGACCTTATCCTTATCAATCATCCAGACATTTGCCCCCCCTGAAAGATTTTGCAGGAGCCGCCACTGCTCGCAATGTTCTTCACTAATTTTCCACGGACAGCCACTTTCGCCGATGCCGATAAGACATCGGTGCACGTGGGCCGCCACGCCGCCTGCGAGGGGCTGCTTTCACGCGTTGTGTATTGTCGGGGGCCGCACTAAAGGCCACGAGGGGCCGCCAGTGGCCTCGCAATGAAGAACACTGTCCTAAAAGAACCCCCCACGCCATCGGCTCTAACAGCCGAAGATAAAATCACCGGCACTCGCTGGTTGGAATCGTTTGGCGGCTATGGACGTGGCAGACACAATCCTTCTGATCCTTCTCAAAGTCCCGACTGTGGAAGCGTCTGGCTCCTCTCTCCCGTGACAACCATGGAACTTGCTAAACTGCACTCGATTGCGACGCAGGAGATGCGCGTTGAACCTTCCACAATTTGGATGATCAAAAAATTGCCGGGCTGAGACCTGTGAGTGGCTGGACAAAGCTGGATGAGGTGCCATCTGTTGAGGAAGTACGAAAGACGATCCAGAGTCCGAGACCAGGAAAAGTGCCGTGCAAAGATGATCTACCAAGCGAACTGCTGTGGGGAGGGTGACGTTTGTGTGCAGACTGCCCTATTTGACACCATTGCAACAGTCTGGACCACTGGATGGGTTCCGCAGGATTGGAAGGATGGGGGACCGCACAAACTGTAACAACTACAGGGGTATTTCCTTCCTCAGTGTGCCGGGAAATGTCCTGATAAGGATTATTCAACATCACCTTGCCAGGCATGCTGAGGAGAGGCTTGTGGAACCTCAATGTGGTTTCAGGCCAGGGCAGTCCTGCACATTTGCCATATTCTCCGTCCATCTGCTACAGCAGAGGTGTAGCGAATTCCAACAGGACCTACATACAAACAATAGGCCAGAGTTCTAGGTTGTTCTCCGTGCTTTTGAAGTCCCTGACTCTCTGCTCAAAATCATTAAGACCTTCATGACGGCGGGCAGGCCGGGGTAAGGCTATGTGGCCGGGAGTCAGAGCCATTCCCTGTTCACCTTGGAGTGTAACAGGAATGTCCTAAAGACCCGAAGCTCCACACGAAGCTTCGGGTCTTCTTGGCCACAGTCATGCCCTCCCTTGTCTATGCTTTCGAGTCGTGGACCCCCCTAATGCAAAATCTACGCCGGTTGTAAACATTCAGGCTGGCCTGCTTATGATCCATCATCGGTTTAACCAGGCTGGATTGTGTGCGGAGCTGACAAATACTGTGAAGATCTGGACAAAGTCTCAACGGTGAGCTCCTCCGGCAGACAAAGCTGCATTGGTCGGGGCATGTAGCCCGCATGCCCAGCTACCGCATGCCCAAACAGATTTTGTTTGACCGGATAAATGGGGCTAAACGGATATAGCACGGGCTAAAGAAGAGATGGTTTGATGTGTTATAGGAAGATATGGAGCTGAGTGGACTTGCCAATGACTAGGAACCAGTGGTGTCAAGATCGGCCTCTGTGGAGCGGGCTCGCGAAGGAAGCTACTGGGCAGTTGGAGGCAGTCGACCTCAAACAACAGCGGAGGGCACAGGAGCACCGCTCTCAACAATAACCACAGCAAGTTGGCACAGTAAGGGGGAACAGGTGGTGCATCTGCCAGCAGTCTCAGTCAGTCGGCCGACGGCGCCTGGGTCTGTTCTGTGACCTCCTTGTCAGCAAGCCTTTGACACTTCGCGTGGCCTCGGAGTACACCTGGCCTGGCACAGGTGCCCGGTGGTGACGTCACCGCCACATAGTGATGGACGCCGGGTGTTGTTGCAAGGCCGCTTGTATCGGTCGGGTGTGCTCCGTGTGGCGGTGCCAGTGTTTTGTGTTGGTGGACGTTATTGCGCGTCGACTGTGCTCGATGCGAGCGTGAGAGGGTATTTCCGTGTCTGTACGGTTTGGTTAGGCATAGTCACCCAGAATGCATTTCGTGGTTGTGTTGTAGAACCGTGTGTTGGTGCATCAACTCGACTTGGGTGGGACCCCCCGGATGTTCCGGCGTAGACGCCCGCTGTTTTGCGAACATCCAAACAAACGCGAAGCACAGCATTTGGCGTGTGGGCACGCTCAGCTGCCACTAACGTGCTGCATTAGTGCGGCTACGGGGGCCAGTGCCCTTAGTGAGCGGGATGCCGCGTTCAAAGTATAGAGAGGCAGGGGTAGAACAGCCAACTCTGACTGAAGATCGGGTATTCCCTCCCCCTTGCTCGCATTAACTTGGAGTCGCGTGACACAGCGGTGGAAGATATTTGTTTCCTCCAAACATTGGATAGAGGAGATGCAAATCCCATGGAGAAAATATTAAATAGCTTACATGCAACGAGAATGAACTGCAGTGGATGGTAGACGAACAAATACGGCGAAAAGTTGGTCTCGGGATGAATATGAGCGACAGGTTCGCAAAACAATCGCAGATATCTGTCGAAGAGAGAAAACTGGAAAATGTGAATCTCGGACAACTATGAAAGGCAGATAAATTTGAAATCATGAAATAAAGAGACAGACACGAGCAGGGAGAGGCCCTTTTGACATTATCATGAAAATACATTTTATTTTTAATTATGAAATGTAACATACTAATGAAATATTTTCATCAGTGCAAACTATCTGCTGTCATACCTATGGTTCAGAAACATGACGACTGATTTGTTGTTTTACAAAAACTGAACTGAGTACAAATGTGCAAAGAGATATATATATGTTGGGAATTACAGAGACAGAAAGACAAATAGCATATGCAGGCAAAATTAATACATCATTCAAACTGTTAAGTAGGCCTCGGCAGGACACGGAGCTGGAAAGAATGACTCACATTTGTCATCCAATTGATCTTTTAACACTCATGGCAAAGCCGAGGAATCTTAAGAGGACCATCCGTGCAAGAAGAATTGCACTTGGTACCAAAGCGTTTGCTGTTGCAACACCCACTCTGTGAAATGCCCTTCGTGCGCTTTCTCAATTTAGGTGAATTTACCATAACGACTTGGGCCTTCAACTCACGTGCTCGACTCAACTGCAGCCACAGTTGCAACTGTGACTTGCAACTGTGACTTGCAACTGTGACTTGCAACTGTGACTTGCAACTGTGACTTGCAACTGTGACTTGCAACCGTGACTTGCAACCGTGACTTGCAACTGTGACTTGCAACCGTGACTTGCAACTGTGTTTTGCAATGACGATTTGACAACTATATTTGCAAGTGTCATTTATCCATAATATATACACAGAATATATTTTTTAATAATTGCTATTATTTTCTTTATATCATTATGTTATGCTAAAGTTTACAGACGATTGTTTATCATATCTACCTACGTAACGTCCTCTGCAATTATCTGCCGTTACCGACCTCAGCATGGGCGACACATCGGTGAAAAAGAGCTCTATGCCTCATGGGGTTCTTCCAACTCAAATAAAACGTCGGTGTCTATGATGACCAAAGATCAAGTTTAACAACGGAGTGGCGGTCAAGAAATGGATGCGGTCAAGTGGAATGTTTACCAAGGAGATGGAGCTATGAGATTAACCCATGTGCAGATGTTCAATTATTATATCGCAGGCGTATGAATTATTCTGGCAGCTTGGAGAGGCTTTCATCCAGCAGTGAACTTACCATGACTGTTGATAATGATGTACCTTGCTGACCCGCCCTTACTGGACATCCTGTGAACAAGAGCTTCACAGTTCATCGGATTCATCCAAGATAAATCAAGATTCTGATTTTGAGACTGTCTCTATTATTCGTTCACTTATCACTGGTAAGATGACAATTTCCCTTTTGTCAGTTTGGCCAGTAAAGAACTGTTTACTCTGGGAAGCATTCATTTGATTCATCTATTCATTATCTCCAGTCTAAAACATACATCTTGGCAGTACACAGGCAAAGGCAAATCAATCTTCACTACTCATCCACAACCGTAGAGCTCATTATTTACCTCTGGTACACAGGGCTTCACTTCACGAAGTAATAAACTGATGTGTCTATCCTTATTCGTTCACGATAAACTACATACATTCCAAACTCTAAACTGTTCATTCTCTAGGCCATATGTGTGTACATATATCAGTATTGTTTAGAATTATACACTTCATAAGTTATTTTTTTAACGGTACATCCAAAGTCGGTGGTCAACATTGGATAATAAATCTACACACTCCTGTGCTTATTACTCACCTTTTATTTTGTGTTAATTAGAGCAGCAATACATTTTAATACAGTAAAGTAGGGTGCATTTTATGATTTTTCATTTTCAAAAAAATGGGGCCAAAAAAATAAAGGTGAGTTCAGCATCACGTTCTCAAAAAAAATTTCACTGGCCCTTATGTATGAATATACACATTTATTAAATTGAACCCGCTACTCACGCTGTGTGCAGCTTTTCTGCAATCCTTGCAGCTAAAATCTTCAAAATTGCAATAAGTGGCCATAAGTATGACTCTGCAGGAAGTTGGAGCCCTTCATATTTGGCATCCTGTAAATGCATTTCCCGTATTCAGGAGGCTTCCTTACCATTACAGCGATTGTTCGACTAATATGCTGCACTTTGCCTCGACAAAGAGATGAACAGAACTGTAGGTGAAGCTCTTAGGATGGAAACTCAAATTAAGCTTTTCACACTGTGAACAATCTTATAAAGTGCTCATTGAGAGATTACGGAAACGGTGAGACACTGCTCGGGCTGCATTAGGCTAATTAGCTTCCCATCGGACCGCAGCACTCCCAGCTAATTGATTTCCGAACCGCAGGGGAGTCTCAGCGAGGGGTTGCTGAGATGACGGGCACATCCACGCGAGGCGCCTTTTCAGTACCGGCAGATGTGTCAAATTACAGGGTGCTGCGCGGAGACAAAGGCGGCCAATCTGATTAACTGGTTAGCCTCCCCATTATCTCGCTAAACACTCCGGCCATGATTTCACGCAGTGAGAGCTGGAGCTGCTATTAGTAAGCAAGAGGCAGTCGGAGCATTTCGCTGTGACAATATATAATGCGCGTGTGCGCGGAGCGGCGACAGGACACGCGCGCGCTGGGCCGCATGCTGTGCTTCTGTGCATTTCCTGGACAAATTTCCACCCCCCCCCCCTCCCCCCGCAACAACCTGGAATCAGCTCTTGTATAATACCCACATTTATTTAAATCAGGCTGCCCAATTTGGCCCGTAATATACTTGCATTTCTTTCATGAACGCATTGTTGCAGCACCTATTGTTTTTCCCCACGGCTCTATTGTCTTCGCACAGGTGATATAATGTCCTTTGAGAGACCCCTCCGGATTGTTTTGTCTTTGCCCATCGACTTTCCGTGGCCACGTCACTTCGGCCCCCGTGCAAAACTTGTGATGGTGCGGTCGTTTATTTGTCATTCAATGCCAATGTGATTGTATTTTATTATTCACAATGAACAGTTCAGCAAGGGTAAGAATCAAGCTCGTATACGTAGACGGATGACATCGGCTTGTGTGTCGGCGCTATAGATTCGATTTTTATATCGAAGGGATCGTGAGAGATGGCCGTGGCTTGGGGAGGCCGTTATTCCAGCAGTGGATTGAGAATGTATACTGCTGATGATGATGATGACACACAATTTACCTGTTTGCTACTGGTCTTCTTTTCAAGAGGCTATTCTTTTTTGGGAATAAATCTCATGCAGCTTGGTGGTGTTCATTCAGACGCTGTCTTTCCGACAGACCTGTTCTTCACCTGAGGACGGCTGCTTGCGTTGTGGCCGAAACGTCGTGAGAATTGTATTTTATTATGTTTTTATTTTATTTTATTATTTCCCTTCTACGTGACTTTACCAAAAGAACCAGGAAGACGAATCCCTGCAGTCACGAAAGCTTTAAATCGAAATTTTACAACGGCAAGTCTAACGGCAGATGTGACAAATATCAGAGAACTGTACACACAGGACTTGCACTATTGAAACCATTTGAGTTTATTGGAAATATTGACAGCAGATAAAGGCTGCTCCAGTAACAGTAAAGAAGGGCAGAAAGAGAGACATAATTTTGCAAAAAATATATATTTGCTAGAAGAGCAATTGCTATCATACACTTTTTCCTTTTAGGGTAGTGTTATTAACGAATGGGGCGGGTATAAATGCATTATTATTAAGTAAACTACAATCATGCTTTTACATTTGACAGTAGGTAAATGTATGCAAAGACAAAGATCCCCCAAATAGCCTTAACAGACTTTTGGGGCAAGTGTTGTTAGCGAGCACCGATAAAAGCTGGCACGGCACACGAGGGGTGGGTGGCCAGCACCACGCCCCTAGTGGCAATGTTTGTTACGCGTCGCACTCGCTACTCATTTGAGGTTGAGTCAACCTCGAGGATGCCCAAGACCAGGTTCAGATAATCGTCACCGATGTTGGCCGTGAGCTTGAATCAAACTTGGGTCGCCAGGTTACTAGCACAGCGCGCTAACTGCTACGCTATCGTTCCCCACCACAATGCAGTCTGGTGGTCACACACGTTGCAATGCAGTGAAATTAACTGTTGCATTGCAACTCATGAGCTCCTACGTCAATGTTTCTCCACGACGCATGGCTACATAGAGAGGCCTTCATCCAACAGTGCATTGGCCTCACCCCAGTGCCGGATTATCCGAGGAGCAAAATTAGCTGCATATGTAGTAGCTGCATATGTAGTAGCTACGGGCTCCGCACTTTCAAGGTCCCCGCGCTAAATGCTTTCAAGCTATCAATTCCGGTTCAGTGATTTTGAACTTGCTCTATTACCATAGTACTATACCGCCTTCAACTTTTATGAATGACTGCGTGTTTAAGGTTAGCGATTTCGTCGTATTATCTGACTGTATAGCAAATGAAAAAAATACAATTACTTTACTATGCAAGTGAAACTGTACGTGTTTGAATATTTACGTGTGTTATTAATTTATTTAGGGCCCCTTTATAACATATGCTACAGGCCCCACACTAGCTTAATCCGGCACTGCAAAAACATGTATGTGCTATACATTACAAGCCAGTTGGCTATACGTATATAATATATGTTATCATATAAAAAAAGAGGAACACAAATCATGCATGCGCATGGATTCTGTAAGTGCTGTCCCAAATATTGTTTTTACTACTATAATGAGCCAAGAATGTCTGTGTGCCCCGCGCGTGACGTCACTCCACGTCGACCAGCCCCCCTCATTAATAATCATCAGCAGGTGACGTCCTCTACATGGACCTCCCCCCCTCATTAATAATCATGAGCGGGTGACGCCACTCCACATGTAGCTCATCCCCCCTCATTAATAATCATGAGCAGGTGACGTCACTCCACATCGAACAGCCCCCCTCATCAATAACTATGAAGAGGTGACGTCTTCCAAATGGACATCCCCCCCCCATTCATAATAATTAGCGGCTGACGTCACTCCACATGGGGGGGGCCGAGGCGCCTCCTCCCCCCTCCTCGGCGTCAACTTACAACCCTCACTACAAAGGCAGAACCCTCACGTCATCACGTGATCTCCGTAACGCTGTTGAGACATCAAAGTAAAAAGGACGTCATGATGAACAAGAGATTATAACCTTTAAATGAAACAAGTCTGTGTCACCGCGGACTTACAAATTGCACACGAATTGATGCAATGAATATAACACGTCGCGGTCTGCTTTTCGCTTGCAAATTTTAGATTTACTGAAATACACCAGTCCTTGGACGGGCAAAAGGCTAGTTGGCAATAATAACAATCGTGTCCAAGCCACCCGAGAAGACATCACAGTCTTGGCCGAAAAGGCTTTTAAAAATCAATTTGCACGTGGGGTGTTTTTAATCGCACATTTTTGGCCAACCCTTTCACCCTAGGGTAAGTACTTAGCGGCAAATAGAACGTTATTCTAAAATGTAATTTAATTATATCGGGTCTCATTTACGTCGTTCCATTGTCGTGACCCCATGATGCAAACGACAGGCAGAGCTGAAGCTTTCAACCTCAGCGGTAAGGCACTAAAAGAGTAAACTCTACCCACGGTATATAATGCGTTATTACTTACC